CCTTCGCTTTTCACCTGAAACCATCAGGACATTGTGAAAGGGCTATGTGTGCGTGCGTGGTCCATCGCTTTAGTCCTGCCCGACCGCATCTTTCAACCATGCTGCGACTCTAAGGACTGTAGTCCACAGTCTCCTAAGGCCATGGGATTCTTCGGGCAAGAATACTGGAGTGGGTTGCCATGCCCTCCTCCAGGGGATCTTCCCAACCCAGGGATCCAACCCACATCTCCTATGTCATCCTGCCTTGCAGGCGGTTTCTTTACCGCTGAGCCACTGGGGGAGCCCGTTAATCAGCTGTATTCAAATCCAAAGTAAAAAGTTGAAAAAAACCACCAACAAAAATAAATGAGAAGGAAAAGCACCCCTACCATGTGGAACAGGACGACAGAAGGCAGGAAAGTGTGAAGTATAGTGTAGATGATAGAAAGGGGAAATGGGCCTTCTGAAAACCTAACCCAACAAAACGGCCCCCAGGATAAGCCGTAGCCTCCCCCGGGGGAGGCAAACCGCAGCCCCCAGCATCTTCCCGCGAGCCTCTCCCCACTCACCCTCACGTGTGTGATTTAGAAATAGGATACAGCAAGCTGACAGATTCGGCCATCCTTCAAGGGGCCAACGTTATATTGGGAGGCACATCATAGAACTTGACTTTATGTGTTTACATAGAAGGGGGTACAACTTTTGTGCGGAGTGCAGAAAGCGAAGCAGCGTTGGAAACTTCCAGCCTGAGTGGAGCAGGGCTCCCTGTGAATGAGCACCCTCCCCGGACCAACCAGAATACAGGCGACGTCAGCCAATCCCGACTCGGCAGTGCCCTGGTCGGGGCGGGGCTGACACGCCCCAGAGTTGTTTGCCTCCGCTCCCCACCCGTCCCGCTCTAACCCTTGTCTACCCCCCGGAGGAAATCGCGGAGACGAGGCCGGCAAAATAGATTTGGCCAAACTGTGGAGGGCATCGGACTTTGAGCACTGCAGTAGGTGGACAGACCCAACCCTGCAAAACCCACGTTTTCCGCGCGCTCTGCAGGACTCCTCTCAGAGCGCTAGGTCCAGGATGCCTTCAAGAGAGCAGGTGGAGCCGATGAGGGCAAGTTCAGGGCCAAGCGAGCAGGTCTGCGAAGGATGTCAGGTTTCTCCCCCACATCCTGCCTGGGTAGGTGGTGGCCCTCCCTTTCCTCTTGGGAAGGAAGGAGGTCAGGCCCGTGCCAGGCTCGCAGCAAGCTATAAGAACTAACTCTTTGTTAGGATGGTTCGGTTGCCTAGGGAAACTGTAAAGCCAGCTTCTCTGGATATAGTGAGTGCTGGTAAATGCAGTGAGATGGAACGACTTCTCCCGATGCACCGTCCCCAGAGAGGCACACATCCTGACATTTTTCCAGGTCTCCCAGCCTGGTTATTTCCTCGGTGTAACTGGAGCCCACCCTGCCACATATTCAGCAGGCTTCAGTTAGCAGCGGCTTAGATGTGTCTCCCATCTAACTTTCTCATTCCCTGAGATGAGGCTACAGTTCCCATGCTGGATGCCAACCCTCAAAATCTCAGCGTCTGAGATGGGGAAGTCATGCAGGACGGCAGTCGGCTCCTTTGCTCTTTGGCTGAATGCAGTTGGTGCCTCTGAGTGAACTGATGGTGCTGTTACTACATAGGATATAGGATGCCCAGGTGCAGGTGGGGGATATTGAAATTTGAGGCTCTTTCCGCTCTATCAGGCTTTGTATGAAGCACTTTACACGAATTATATCTTCAAAATCTTTACTATATTGCAACTGTTAGCCTCTTTCCTTCACAGCTGAGGAAACTGGGGCCGCAGAGGTCACATCTCTTGCCCAAGGTCGCACATTTCCAACTGGCATAGCCTGGATTTACACCCCAGGCCTGCCAGATCCCAAGCCCCTGCTCTCCACTGCAACCCTGAATTACAGCACCTCCCAAGCTGTCCCTTATGCCAGGCCTTGTCCTGCTCTGAATCTTCTGGGGGGCCTCTCTGACCTGTTGCTGCTGTTTCCAGCCTTGGTGTTCGGTGCCTCGTGTTTCAGGCTTGCTGAACACTGGGACTCATTGATAGGCAAGGGCAAGTCAGCAGCAGGGTGCCATGGTCCCACAAATTTGGAACCAGAGGTTTAGAGGATGTGGCAAAATTTCTAGAATATATAGTCCAACTTTAGAACTAGCCTCCCTTCTGTGGAGCTCTGGACTACCTCCACTTTATTTGGATGTCTCCCAACTCCTCCTGTTATACTAAGCAGGAATGAATCAAGTGTCTAAATAAAAGTTACAGGGAAGGTTTCCCAGGGAGAAACATTAGATTTGCAGAATATCCAGGGGTTCACGACAGAGCACAGGCGTTGGCCGGCTGCTTGTGGGAGGACTTTCTAGGCCTGAGGGACAGAATACACAAAGGTTCTCCTGCTTCCTCTTTCCACAGCGCCACCCTCTCCCCAGTTTTCTTCCTTAGACGTCCTTGACGGCCACAAAGTTTCTGGTGTTGACAAAGTGGCAGGACTTCCCTTGCATGGGGCAGGCCACCCTGGAGTGAAGGCCTGTGCTTCTGGGATGAAGCTCTGGGATTCCAAGAAGGGGGCTCCCTACCTCCTCAGCTGGAAGTGGCTCCCGGGTGCCCACCACAGGAGGAATTCCCTACAAATCATCTGAATCTTGCCTGTCTCTTCAGCTACTGATTTTGTCCTTTTTCTGACTAAGAAGAGCATGTCTTCTTTTCTGCCCCTTGACTGGAGCTGAGGTCAGCACAGCTGGCTTAGCCTCACAGCCTGTCTCAGGGCCCTCTGAGGAATCACATCCAGCCCAAGGCAGATACATGGAGACGGGAGGAAGGGTGGGGGGTACACCACAGGAAGCACAAGGACATTTTCGCCAAAATCTCTCTCTCCTCCCTCCCTGGGCCTCATTCTAACCTCCAGGTTCCCAGTTTCCCTTCTCTCCCTCACCTCATAAGCAAAGCTGATTTCCCTCTGGCTCTGTTGCCACCATTAACAAAGTTAGGAATTTCTTGGCTCATGAGCAAAGGCCTCGAGGATCCAGGCTCGTTGGAACCTGATCTCTGAGTGGATCTAAGCAGACTCTGTAAGAACTGTGGTGGCTATGGTGGCCCCCAAGGTTGACCAACACTTAGCTTCCTGTCCCAGCCTCCAAGGCTGGCTCCCCTCTGCACGAGCAGTCTCTGGAACTGGCACGTCTGCTCCCAGCCTGGGACCTGGGCGCTGACTGCCAGACAGACCTGCTGTGCAGTCACTAGAAGGACATGTTCCTTCCATTCCCCTTGGTCTTCTCATCCTCTCCAGCGGCTGTGCCAAGTCGCTCATTGGCAGAAGAGGATGGTGTCCTCAAATGTCTATCACTAGCCTAATAATTCTTACCCAGGCTCTTTACAGATATACTGAGGGGAAAAAATGACATTCAGGTGGAAGGGCTGACACAGCCAAATGCAAGTGGACCTCACTTAGAAAATTCCATAAACAATGTAAACTTAGACACTCCACACAATTCTTCCTGCATGGTGGGCAGAAACGATTCGCTCCAGGAAGCGACTTCAAGTTCTACTTTGTTCTCTTCAAAGAGGTATTTAAGGGTTGGGAAGGAGGTGGGATATCAAGTTAAAGATCATCGGGGATGAAGAAAACTCCTGAAGCTATGTTGCAAGTCAGAGGTGATACGGAATCTGAAGTGTGAAAATCCATTCCCTTAACATGACAGGCAAGGTTTTGTAAAGGGAGAAGTACTTGCCCCTCAGGGTCCAGGGCCAAGATATGGGTCAAGTGCCTGTCTTGGGAAGGTGAGAGCTGACAAGCCACCCCTGGTGGTCCAAGCAGAGTGCTCACCACACGGAGACCCGAAGCAGAGCCCTAACCCTCCCTCCATTCTTTTCTCCGGAACTACGTGGACCTTCGATCGCCTGAAAGTGAGCAGCCAAGAGAAGCTATAGTCCAGATCAGCGCACAAGCTCAGTCAGTGTTCAGCCCTGAACCGTTAACACACTGAGGTCTGGCTCCCTTTTTTACAGGACGGGAGGTGGTGGGGGAAGGAGATTACCCAGTAATCTGCCAGGGTCAGATCAGCTCTGGGGAGATTTATAGGCCTAGATGGGGGGACAAATCACCTTCTTTCAGGCTACAGGATGCTTTAAGGAGGAAATGGGAAGAGTGCAGGGCTGAAGGCCAGATTTTATTAGGGCTGGAAGGGGAAAGTTCAATGGTAACTCATGAAAACATTGGACTGTCCTTTAGTCCAATGTTACTTGAGGATACTATAGGGAAAACCTCCTGAATCCAAGTCTCTTCAGAGAGGACCAAACTGCAGGGCTCCCTGAGAAGAGCAGAAACATCCCGACAGTAAGCACTGTTAACTAGCAACTCACTGAAATGACACTTCCCATTCCAAACAAAAGCAACGTAAGAAATTCTTCCTCCAGCTGTTTTCACTGGGTCAATAGACTAAAATCAATTATCAGAGGAAGTTTGGAAAGCCTCAACTATATACAAAACAGATGTAGGCATCCAAAGCTTTTTATTAAATGGTGTCAGATGCATCTTGATTTGCTGTCTGGTGATACTATCACTTGGGAACGTAGCGTATCTCTCTTAACAGCCTCCTTGGAGGCAGCCACCAGTTTTTCATCTTTGTTTTATGCCCTTTACTGCCTAACAGTGCCTGGTACATTGTTGGCACTCAGGAGACATCTGATGAACCTCGTGCAATACAAATGATTAGGCAACCCAACCTAAAACCCCTTTCAGGTAAAGCAGCTGGATTTAGAGCATAAGAAAAAAAAGTTTTAAAAACCATCTTCTCTGGGTTTACTTTAGGTGGGGAGTAGTTTTCCTGCAGTCAGCCTGGTGCAGACCCACTCTCTTGGCCAGGGGTCACTAGCCCTTCCCTCTCTCTGCCACCCAGTATCAAGATGTGTACACCTGGAGAAGCAGCGCTCCAAAAATTTCTCTATCATGGTGAACTGGTGAAGCTTCTGAGGTATTAAGCAATCCATCATAACATTTGTGACTGGTTAACTTTAATTTGTCAAAATAAATCTGCAGTTTTTGCATGTTAGTAATACAGTGCTGGTATTGACAGGAAAAATCATCCAATCTGCTTACATAGAAACCTTTGTTTAGGAGCACACCTTAGGAGGGAAATGGATACAATAAAAGGCAAAATGCAGGCCAAGAAGCGAGCCCTAGAGCGTAACAGGCTGGATGTCAGATTTGAGGATTATCTAATACAACTCTTTAGCTGCCAATCTGATAAAGGGGACGCTCTTAACCAGGTTACAACCAGAAGAGAAAAACAAACTCTCTGCTTTTTTGTGAGCGATGGCCGTCGTGCCTTCAACACTTGGTTGAATCAGTTCATCAGCATTAAAACTCAATTCCAGTTCAAAGACAGGAGAATTTCACCACAACCTACTTTGGCCCCCCGCCATTCCAGTGGCCCACTGCCACCTCCATCCTGCCAACTCCCTCCCAAAAGAAGACACGACGTGGCTTTATTATCGCAGACAAGCTTAAGTGAATAAAGGATGCATACAAAATAGCATTTTAACTGAAGTCATACAATGAAGTCTCACTCCTGTTTATTATACAATGAATTGATAAAGCAATCATTTCTAGTATATATCTTTTTTTTTAAAAGAACTAATACTTTCAGGGTTCTGACGACCACACTCTAGCCTGGGGGTAGGGTCCACATCTGCCCCCACTGAGGACGGCTCCTTGGACAATCGTGGAGGAAGCCGGGCTGTGTCCATGCTGGAGGACTGGACTGCCCGCTCAGTCAGAGAGACGACACGGCCCATTAAGCAGAGCCAGAACCCCGTTCTGGGGCTGCGTGCCAGGAAACATGGGCTTCCTCCAAATGTGGCCACTATCTGCCCAATCCAGGCCTCAGCAGGGCCATGTGTGGGCCTTCCCTGCACGAGTCCTTCCAGTAGTCCACACATAATGCTCTACATATTAAAAACAAACCATCTTGGTACTGTGGATAGGAACAGTTGTAACAAAGTCATAGCTACATATTTTTCTCTACATTTTGTTTATTGAGACAAACTAATTAAAAGGCACAAACATAGGGCATGTTTACATGGACATTATAACAAACATATACATTAAAAGTGTAGGAATGTGTCGCCTTCCTGCTAAACAGAAAGTTCCTAAGCTTTTATATATACAAAAGTTGTACAATTTAATGTCCTAAAGTACAAAAGATCATTTATAAAATTATTTTACACTAAGTACTATTTATTTTATTTTTTTACTACGTAGTTCAACCCCCTCGAACTGTTTTGTATAATGACACACAGATACCTGTCCCTGATGTAGGAAGTCTGCCTCAGACGCAAGGTATTTTGATGCTTGAACTGACACAGTAGGGCATAAATGGAAGTCATCCAGTTTGATAGTCAGTCCTGCAAACATTTTGCAAGATTAACACAACTAATGTCCATTTCTCTTAACTGCAAGATTAAAAAAGGAAAAAAACCAAAAACATATTGCAACTTAAAAAAAAAATCACAGCGTCTTGGTTTTAGTAACTTAAAAAAAAACAACACAATGCTTTAAAAACAATGTCTGGCATGATGGTGGAGAGTATCTGTTTCCCTAGCTTTTGGTTTCTACTTTATGTACAGAGATAAAAACATCCTGCTAAGAAATAAAAAGCACATGTCTTAACGTGCACAATCATTGCTGGGTTTCTGTAGGGAGTGCAGACAGCTGTCTCCCTGAAAACCTCACAAAGCTGATACAAGTGTTTTCTCAAAGAAAAAAAAAAGTGATGTCTGTATTTACAAAGTTGAACAAATCTGCACAATACTTGATTAAGAAACGGAAGGAGAAATTAAAAAAAAAAAAAGACTCTGCTTGTTCTGAAGGGGCATACTACCTAGTTAGTGGTTAGAATAAAAACTGTATACAATTTAATATAAGACATAAACTCTAGTGAGCAACTAACACATCTTTCCCTGTTGAAACATCAACAGGCTCTGATTGGGAGAGAGAGGGGCATATCACATCCCAGTGCCTCCAGCGTCTTCCAATTTAAAGCAAATGCATTTTAACTGTCCCAAAGTACTCTGTGACCCCTGAACAGGAGTCCTGCTGGCCTCCGTTTGTTAGGAGTCTGCTTGTCCGCACACCTGACTTCTCCTCTGCCAGTTGCGGCCTTTTCTTACCAAAACACAATGTGTATATTTTGTTTTTGTTTTGTTTTTTTAAATTTTTTTAAAAAGTCAACTACAATGCTGTATTTCATCAGGATTAGTATGCTGAGCAATATTTACATCTCCAAATATCAGGTCACAATCCCTATTATATGTTGAAGTTAGAATGATAAATTATCATATGCTTTGCATATCAGAGCTGGTATCACCTTTCCCATAGGGAATGCTGCCTGAAATTAACATATTCCCAAAGGTAAAATGCATATTCTCTGAAATGCATTTTATTATGACAATGCATGTATTTACTCATAAAAACAAACACAGACAATACACTAGCTCACAATCCGTGGATTTAGAACTTCAGGTTAAAATCAGCCATCCACCTTGTTCATATGGGGAGAAGAGCTCTGCTAGTGTTTAGCATAAAATGATTTCTTGGGATTAGAAACAGTAATGCTGTTTTATTTTGAAATGGATTTTTCTTTTTTATGACTGGTTTTAATTCTGATGTTTCATCTTGCCAACTACTATCCTGTTTAAGCAATGCTGTCAGCTAAAAGGAATTTCTGATTAAACTAAAGTGGTCCAATGATAAGTGACGTACATACTCTACAGTGAACAATCCCAGCCAAATTGGAGGAAAATGCTACTACACTATTATTAACTAATAGAATCTCCCAATCTCATGGTTTACTTTTTGCTTTAATAAACTAAAAGTTGCTGGTAAATATTTACTTTATCCCATATTCTGATTTTATAACACTGTTTACCAAGGTGGTGATGTAGGCAAAGCTTGGGGTAAGAAAGGCATGCTCTCTACAGGTCTCATTGCTATATTGAGAGGGGCAGCTAACGTCATAGGTGTGGGCAGGTTCATTGGAGACGTGATCGTGACAGGGTGTGCTATATTCACCGGGGCAGTGACGGGGGTGGGCAGGTTGACGGGGGTAGTGAGTGTTAAAGGAGAGGTCATGGATAATGGACTGGTTATAGTCACAGGATGCCCTATGTTCATTGGGCTGGTTATGTTAACTGCACTTGAAACATTTACTGGACTTCTCATGCTCATTGCAGCTGCCACTGTGACTGGGTTTGACATAGTCCCAGATGACACAGAGGACGTTATATTGAATGGAGTAGTGAGAGTCACAGGTGTCGTAGCAGCCGTGGAGGTTTGGCACAGGTTAGCAGCTTCTAAAATAAGAAGACAAAAGGGCCTTTAGACTCTAAAAACAGTGAACACAATTGAGTTTCTGAATCAACTTCTTTTAATTAAAAAGGACAAACATTTAATAAGTTAAATTACAGATTTCTACCCCATGGTCAACTGGAAGGGAGGCTCCTCCTGAGCACAAAATTGGGGGCCAGAATCCTGGTGTGAGAGCAGTTCTCTTTTCTGACACTGGGCCTTCCACAAGGACTGAGGAAACTGGCTTAGCCTTGGTGCTTTTGGTTTCAAGTTTAGATTTACTTACCTACCTCACAATGATGCTGGAAGATCAGGTAATTTCTGCAAGGCACTCTGCGGGGCAGAGATATCAAGTAGGGCTAAGTATTATCACTATGCTTCATGTGGCTCCTCAGAGTTCTACAGACATTCCAGGGAAGAGCCAAGCACCCACAGGCCAGGCTAGAAGAGCTTGCTTACACAGAGCTGGGCTGATGGTTACACAACAGATAATCAGAAAAATCTTCTTGTAAGGCACACTGTAACTAGCAGAGAGACATGTGTTCTCGATGCTATGTACTCTAAAGCTTTCTCAGAGGTGAAGCCACATTCTGTTAAGGTTTTAAAAATCCATTAAATAGGGATAGAAAAACAGGCTATTTTAATAATCATCTGTTTATTTCAGTCTTAGACAAATCATTTAAAATAATCCTGCTGTTTCTGCTTACATTTATTAATGATGTTAAGAAAGAACAAGCATCCCTCAGTAGGTTTATGTTCTCCTCCCCTCTCATTTTTCTTTCTGAAATTGACATAAGCACCTACTTTACCCCTAGTGTCATTTAACTGTACATATGACAAAACCACCAACCATACCAAAGGGGACTAGCGAGGCGAGCAGACCCGGCAGTGAGTTGGGGTATCATGGTCCTTGTTATCAGCAAAGCCTGAGCACTTCTTAAGGAAAACTTTCCTCTGAGGTGACACCCCCCTATTCCACCCCTCAACCAAAATTCAGCATCATCTGCTGGTGTGTCAGAAAAGAGCAGTAAGAAGACGGATGGGGTGCTGTGACTCGGTTGTCAAAATGGAGAAATGCATTTGAGACTATAGAGGTCTGCCTGCATGCCACATGTGGTCAAATCATCTCAGGTGGCCCCTTGAGTCAATGAGCAGCACTTCCTTGATGAGCATGATGTAACCTTGGCACTGCTCCATACTCCTTATCAGGGATTCCCAAAACTGGCTGATGATCAAAATCATTTATCTAGGGAGCACTTATTTGGGGGGGGAATTGCTCCCCAAGAAGTTCTATCTTGAGATTTAGATGGAACCTGGGAAATCTGTACATCTAAGAAGCTCCTGAAATGATGATCTGATTGTCATCCACGTTTGGAAACTTAATTACCTTGTTTAAACCCAATATTTAAAAGTGATGTGCTGATTCAAGTTCAGGTTCTCAGGTCAGGAGTCTCTTCTCCCCAAAATGTGACATTTACTAACATGAACACAGAAGTTCCTAACATCAGTTAGAAACATCAGTTTCTAACATCTAACATCAGTGAATCTCCAAAGAGATTCGCATTACAAGTGGGACTATAATAGCATTTTGTTTCATGGAGATCAGAAGATGAGCTAAACAACTGAGTCTTATTGTGCAAGCACACTGAAATACAATACCAAACAGAAGAGTGCAGGAAAAAAAGAAAGAATGAGGGAGAAAACCAACTCATTTTTGAGGTGATGGTAGCACTGCTAGAAACATTCTCCTCCTATTGTAACCCAGTGAATTTTCACTCCCCCATCCACCATCTCCCTACCTCCCCTACCATGTTTTCTTTTTAATCTAACCCTATCCTCTTCTGTAACTTAACCAGTTTTACTTCTTCTCTGAGTAATATCTCCTTCATAATATGCTTTCAACCCACTATACAACTATCATGGCATATACACATATATACATTTTTCTCCCCTATCCGCCATTCTCCACTCCTTCTACAAAACATTTTATCAAAATGACAATATTCACTTGGAAGATAGGAGTAACCAGCACCAAGTGGAAAGCCTCTCTGAACTGCTCCCTTCTTTTCCTCCAATGCCAGTGCGTGCATGCTAAGTCGCTTCAGCCATGTCCGACTCTTTACGACCCTGGGGACTGTAGCCTGCCAGGCTCCTCTGTCCATGGGATTCTCCAGGCAAGGATGTCCTCCTCAGGGGATGTTCCTGACCCAGGGATTGAACCTGTGTCTCCTGTGTCTCCTACATTACAGGCAGATTCTTTGCCGCTGAGCCACCAGGGAAGCCCTCCAATGCCAGCTGATGCATGAAAAAGAATGCTACTCCTTTTATCTTTATCCAAGTACCGGCTGCTAGGAAGGGGTCTGAGAGGAAGGGAATAGCTTCACTGCATGAAAGCAGAGGGCGGAAGGGACTACACAGCAGAGCCTACATGCAGGGGATGCCTCAAGAATTTAAAGTAAGACACGACAAGGGAGAGGGAGGAAAAATGAATTTAGGAGTCTGTCCAGTGGCTGATGATGCTCTGATAAAATGATTTAACTGAAATGGCTGCACAACCAAAGCTACAGCCACTAAGTTAAAAAGCTGTGTTGAAAACTGATACTCCAACTGCTTCTTTACAAGATATATATAGAGAAAAGCAAACCATTCTCAAAATTTCAGTAACAATTACAGTCAAGTCACTATCAACTGAAGTATATACATGTTAAGCTAATGCCAGCCCTAGTGACAGAATGAAAGAGGTTAAGGGTAAGACTGAGAAAAAAGACATTGGCATTACAGAGTCTGAAATATGTAAAAAAAAAAAAACACCACAATTCAGAAACAACCCTAAAGAGCAGAAAATAGCACAGTTGTAAGAAAATGAACTTATGTGCACAGAAGGATAGTTCATCTACCTCTAAGAGTGGGAATATTTTAGAAAGAAAAAAAAAACAAGGAGCCTTTAATGCATGGAGGCTGACATAAAAAGAACATAAAAAGGAACTCTGGGTGTACATAGCAAAGTACCAAATGTGACTCCAAATTTGTAATGAAAGGTAAATCAAAAGAAAGAACATGATAAGAAGTACTGAGAATTTTTATTTCCTAGGAAAAAGAAAACTATCCAGAAGCTTAGAAGCTTTGCTGGTAATAACTCAACCAGATACTTCCCAGCACAGAGTATCTTCATAAAGTGTGTCCATAAAGCAGGAATCTCTGAGCTGTGGCTATTTTCCTTTGCTACTTGGCACACACTAGACGCAAACGCTCTTCTAGCCATGCTGTGGGCACTGGACACCTCATCTTACCTTTCTTTCTTGCTTTGACAGCTTCTTCCCACAGTCTCAATGTCTCTACCTGCTTCCCTGGCCAGCTCGTCACATGCTGCTGCTGCTGCTGCTGCTGCTGCTGCTGCTGCTGCTTCTGGTTGCTGGTCTCTTCACTCATGCACGCTACTCCAAAGACAAACCAGAAACACCAGATTTACCCTGAAAAAGTGTGGGCTACTTTTCCAAAATCCAAAACTTAAGATACCTTGACTCCTCACACCTCTATGATCTTTATCATCTGACCCAATAATTTTTTTACTCTAGTACATCTTGTCTGCTGCTATGTCAATATTGGTCAAAATAGATAAATTAAAAAAAAAAAAAAAATCCAGAAAGCTAGGGAGAATCAATATAAAAGAATTCTTTGCTACATTAAAAAGCAAGTATCTTTCAGAATTGAACTTGGGTAATATTAGCATGGAATAATTGAGGCTCATCAAAATATCTAATATACTTAAGTTATTTGATCACAATACATTAAAAGTAAATTTCTGTAAAATTAACAAAGTTTGACATGCTAGATAATAAACTCAACATACTTACAAAGAAGCAAAAACAAATGACATTAGAACACATTAACATTCTTTCCCATTCACGTTTGGCCAGCTATTTTGAGAATCTGATGTTTCTGCCACATAAAGCACATATATAACAGAATACAGAATTAGGAAAACACTTTCTTCTGGTGGTTAGGGAGATCTTAAAAGAAAATGCCTCTGAATGCAAGTACTGAATTTTATCCACAGGTCCGTGGAATAGTCTATCTTTGGCTCTGAATTTAAGGTAAGCAAAGCATTTAAACATTCCAATGGATATGATATCCCTTTTCTGTATAGATTTGGGTTTGGAAAATAAAATTACTTAACACTGCTTTTATCTTTAGGTTACTGAGGACATGTTATTAATGCAATCAGGAGTCAGGAGGCACTTCTACCACAACACACACACTACAGCTTCCTATGCAAGCCCCGGAAGAAGGGACACGCTGAAAAGCAGCTGCCGGGAGACTGTGCTCCTCTAACCCGGGCGTTTCTAGCAGACGGTGCGGGAGCAAAGCAAAATCAGTGGAGCGCTCATCAGTGCTGTCTGCATACGCGCATGTGAAGTGTGTTTCCAACACTAACGTACACTCTCCGCTGATGTGTGCTTGCATACTTTAGTAACAGGAGGAAACAAGTAAGATGAATATTAATACGGTCCTGAGAACACAAGTGAAAATATCTTCAATACATCATTTAAAAAAAAAAAATCTACACTCCATCAATCTGAACCACCACGAGAACCGCGAGCTGGGGCACCGCTCACTTTTGCTGATGCCCTGCTTGCACG